ATTGCTCTGCCAAATCTTAGAAAATTCGTAACTTCCTCATACGAAGTCAGATTTGGGCGTTCTTTTTTTGTATGTTCTTAGTTTAACGTATACTACAACTTTTGTTTAGATTTCAAAGGCTAAAAAGTCCTTTATCAAAAATTCACTATTTACGTCTCCCGGTGCCGTGCCGGTTTTGCCGTAAAACTTCGACGGGCCATAACTTCTTCGTTATAACTCGGATTTCGGCGTTCTTCATATGTAAGGAACCCTTGAGACATATTCTACAACTTGGTTAAGATTATTTATTCTAAATAATCTTTTGTCGAAAAGTCGTTTTCGACCCCTATTATCTCTAAATTGACTAGCCCAGATCTGCGGGCGTTACACGTTGGGCGTACGTGAGGTACGCGCAACGTACTTGTGAGAGACATGGATCGCAGACGCCATGCTAGTATGCTGGGCGTACATGTGGTATGTGGGGCATACTAACTCAGCCTCCAAACCCTAATTTTAAGGGTTTGATCAGTATTTAATCCACCTTATGCCTCCCTTTGACATTTCTTATCAGCCTCGCTTCCCTCAAAACCCTAATCTCGGGTCTAATCCTTGTGTGTGAAGAGTTTGAAGCTTGTTAGTGATTTTGATGCTCTTTTGTTGAAGAAGAAGGCTACTGAAGAAGGTGGTGTTGCTTGCAAGCTTGTAGATCCGTAAACTACCTCACTTTGTGCATCTTTTGAATGTATAAAGTTTACACCTTGATGTGTTTCTTTCTAGATCTCCATAGATGATTTTTTATAAAATTTTGTCCCAAAGCCTGGACCTTTGTCAGTATAGAGTACTCTAGAGCATATTAGTTGTCCTTTCATGTGTTTTAGGTCATATAGATTCATAAAAATGGTCGCTTGATCATTTCCCTTGTCCCATGCATGAGTTAAGTGACTTAGAGTGTGTTGGAAGTTAGATTTTTGTGTATTGAGCCCTTTCTAGCCATGCAAATGCTTAAAGTCAGTGACCTTATGGGTTAAGACATTCGATTATGGTCAGATCTGAATTTGGGATATGTGTCTTAAAGGATTAAGACATAAAAGTTGTTAAGTATGGACCAGGCAGAGTACGCCGGGCATACTCTTGGCTACGCCCCATGTAGCCAGGCCCATTTCCGTTGGACGTTAATTTGAGTTGTACGCCCCGCGTAAGAAGGAGTACGCCCAATGTACGCGCCAGGCAGTTGACTTAATTATTAATTAGGGTTAATTGTTTTGTTATTAGGTAGAGTCTTGTTCCGACAGTCGGGTGTGAGATTTGTCTGTCATTAGTATCAGCTG